TGTAAGTTCATGTGAGTTCATGTGAAGAAGAAGTTTATGCAACAAACCCACGTGAACAAACCCTACACGTCTTTCCTCCTTGGCGCGAGCTCGCCGAGTTGCCNTTTGAGTTGAAGCGAAAGATGCGGGAGGGGTGGGTGCAGATTGATAGATATACTTGTAGCAATGCCAAGTGGTTGTAGGATTGTGTGGTACGTGGAATGTATTTACAGGATGTGCAAGGTACCCCTGTTGTATACTGCGTCGCCCCCTCATGGTGGTGCGTGCACGCGTGCGTTCAGTGTGTTTTATGTAAGTTCATGTGAGTTCATGTGAAGAAGAAGTTTATGCAACAAACCCACGTGAACAAACCCTACACGTCTTTCCTCCTTGGCGCGAGCTCGCCGAGTTGCCGACACCCTATTCAACACACGTCTTGCGACAAGCTACCCCCAGTTCGGATCATCCTAACACAGATTCGTAGAGGTTGGTACGGGGACAAGGAATGGCCAGGCCAGGACCGTGATGGAGTGCTTTCTGGTACGATAGGCAGCCTCGAAAAGCCGGACGGGTACGATACAGATGATGTGTCGCCCGTGGGTGATGTCGAGGAAGGGGTAGGGGAGCAGATCCAGCAGGAAAGCGCAGAATGGGGTGATGGCAGCGACGAGGTTGAACCATGATGAGAATTTTTTCAGCCTTGTGATCAATTGCTACACCCATGCACTGGGTGTACCATGTTCCAACAGCACACATGTGATTGCTGTGCGCGGGGGGTTGCGTCCCTGCTTCCAGCTGCTGCAGTTGTTGAAAAAAAAAAATCAAAAATATTCAATTGTCGACAAGTCTTGCCCCGGATGCAGCTTGCCACACGTCAACTGCATTCATGTTCTATCTTCTTGCGTATTAACCGCCTTCGTCATGGAAGCGTTTTGCGCTACTGTATGCCGACAGGCGCTTAAAAATGTTGAGTTGCAGGCCGAGAAGTGGGGATACCAATGTTGGCCGCACGTTGCTGGGCATTTTTCCGATTTTGAATCTCTGCTCAGGTACACAACCCATAACTCAAGCAATTTGATTTTTTTTTTTAATGTCTTTTTTTCATCGTGACCGCCTTTTCCCTGTCGTCAATTTGCGCTATCGNGCGCGACGAAGAAGAAACGGGTGTGACGAAGACCTAATTAAAATAGCTTCTTCCCACAACCCAGCAGATCGTCAATCGGTACCATAATAGACAGACCAAGGCCTGTCTACTAAAAAAAGGCAATAGAAAGGATCTGATTAACTGACGTGCCATTTCCCGGGGGGGGGGTTGGGAAAGGGTCGTTCTACGGCGCGCGATTGTTGAAAGAGCCCAAGCCTGGATGAAGAGAAAGAATGTCGCGCGCGCTACGCGGCTCATTGTTATCTTTCTACGATATTCCAGTGTATCCCTCTCTGGTCCTAAGCTATAGTTTTGGTCAAACGATGGTCTCTGGTTGAAGTCGTTGACTGAGAAGTCTTGAGATCAGATGTAAGAATCTACGTAATAACCTCCGGTGCCCTCCAGGCAGGTGGGCTAGCTACAGTAGAGTTTATGGGATTTGAGTATGAAGTATCAACGGTAGAGTGCGGGCCAATGGGAAAGTAAGTACGGGAGGTATGTGTGTAACAATTCCCGTCTGATGGAAGAGGAGAGGACCTTCGCAGCCCCTAATAGGGGGAGCAGCGAACGTACAGCACGCACCGCTCTGTCTGCTAATTTTTACAAAGGTGTTTTCAATGAGTTCATCAAGGGTCTTCTTTCTTCCAGATTGCACAGCACTGAGCTGGTAATCAATCCCCTCTCACAATAACTCATCCGAGAGGAGGACCAAAACACCTATTTTTCCGCCTTCTTTGAACACCAATCAATCGTCGCTACTCTACAACCCTACCCCCGGTAGCGACTCCTTTTGGTTTTTGAGAACCCGGATACGGGGTAACGCCTAAATCGTGCTGCTGCTGGCGGTAAAACGTAGTACGATGCACCAACAACAATCGCACGCAAGCAAAAGCAGATATATTAATATATAATTCCTAAAACTAAACTTCTACTTCTAATACTGTTGTATAGTTGCTGCTGTTCGTATAGGAGACCACAAAATACAAGAGCCAGCCGCGAGAGGAATCCAGGTAGTATGTACCAAGACGAATATATTACTTCTAAAAGTTCGTCCAGTCTACTTGAAAACACAAGAAATGGTAACCAAAACATCCAACTACACGACACGACAAACCACAAAACACGTCAAAGCACCGATCGATGTACAAGTTTCGAGTTTCAATTCTATTCCACATCGCTCGCATCAAATCACCACGGATTCATGGCACATATGTAGTCACCACGGATTCACGCACGCACACACACCGACCCGCATAGATCAATACTACCGCCCTTAAAACAGGTGTTCGCTGCTGCTGTTGCTCGTATCGCGAGTTCGTGTGAAGCTGGAAGCTGGCCTCACAGCCTCTTCAAAACCGCGGGAAACGAAAACTTAAAAACTGGTTTCACTGTGAAACACAACACCAACGTTGCGCTGTACGGAAAGAGGGGGCGGGCTCAAACGGTCTTGCATATGATGAGGCCATAAACTCATGATTCACACACCGCGAACACTTGAGGGAAAAAGACCAACTGCACACCAAAACGTCATCATATCATCATATCCAAGCAACATCCCCAATCGGCACCACCGTCCGACGGAAAATGCACAAAACAACCACCCATGAAAAAACACCAAAAGATCTAGCCCACTCCTCGACGCCGAAAAGTTACGATATTCTCGTCGTCCACGATAGATGGCAACACGTACCCCCCAGCGACGACGATAAAATTGCACCACTAGATCAAGACCAAAGTACGCACTTGGTGCAGAGGACCAGCACTTGTGCCTACTCCGCGTACTGCAGATACACTCGCATCACCGCCGGAAAATACTCTTCTTCAGTCGACGTGATCGTGTGGTATCCTAACTTTTCGTGATGGGGGCCTCTTCACCGATGATTCCAACGCACTCGATTCACATTTTACCCCTGGTACATGTCCAAGATGCACGGTGCCTGCCCGCCGGTATCCTCGCACATCACTCCGCCGAACTGGATCGCCTTGGTGCAGCAGCCGTTCTCCCCTCCTCTGCGCTTGCTGCAGCCCTCGCCGCCGCACTCCCCGCACGAAGCGGCGCAGCAGTAGTATCCCATTCCCGACAGCACACCGTTGCACGTCGTAGTCGAGGGGGAGGAGGAGGAGGAGGAGGAGGAGGAGGAGGACGACGTGGGCTCTACACTCGTCGACTCGGATTCGTCATCGCTGGCTTCACTCATCGTCGAGCCGACCTCATCCTGGGATTGGGTGGGAGACGGGGTGGAAGCGGCGACTTCGGGCGTAGGCGCCGGGGCGGCGGGAGTCTCCAGGTCGTCGATGAAAGGTACGGAAGGAAAGCTAGACGGGCACCCCTGGTCCCACGAGCCTTCGATCTCTTCGTCTCTGTGGAGGTTGCGTTTACAACCAAGAGGAGGGGGGGTACAGAGTGAGTGCATGGGATTGGCGGTGACGCACTGACCCACGCATTGCATAACGACTTTCTGGAATTTCGCGACAGCATGGATGATGTGATAACGTCGCCGTGAAGGAACTTTTTTTGTGTCTTGCAGCCTGCATGTATGTTAACAGCAACATCATGTCTGCCGGCGCGAACGTGCAGGCGGTGTTCTGCTTTCCCGAGGCGAGTAATTTGCTTTCCAAGGCGAGTAACTTACCCTTCCTCGCTGACGCCGCACTCCCCGTTTGCGCAGGAGTTGTCGCAGATGACGCCCTGCGGTTCCACACGGGACTTGATAGAGCCGGCCTCGGTTTCCAAAAACTCGTTGCCGTAAACCTGAGGGGGGGGGTGGGGACAGAGTTGAGAATTGAGGCCAAGGGCGAGCAGGACTTGTGGGCGACGAAACGGTACAAGTGGCCGAGAGAGGGGTCCCAAACTCCACGCACTGCTGTGCCTCGGATATCGACCGAGCTCCGCAAATCAATGGTTGAGGGGCAGCACGTCCGTCCACACCTCCAGGAAAGCAGTAGTTCACAGCTAAGGAGGACAAGAAACCACACAACAGCCAACTCACGTGGTTGTCGACGCCATATACGAAGCCATCGATAGTGTGTCCTCCCAGGCGGATACCGGCACCGAGGCACTGGACGGCAGTGTTGTACCTGCGGGAGAAGAATATTAAAGTATTGTGGCAGGTAGTATTGTTCAGGCACGCGTGAGGCACGATTTGCGAGAGGAAAAAGCAACGAGCGACCAAAGAGTAAATTTTCTGATTTCCCGCAGTGGAGTAGCATCTACAACGGCAGCAGCATGCTGAAGCGACCAATCGTACGTACCTGAATGTGTTCTCGTTTCCGCGGGAGTCGTAGCACCCGGACTCCGCGTCCCGCTGGTCCTCGCATTCGTTGTACTCGACGACGTTCATGGTTGCGCCTTCCTTGATGTCGACGCACTCGTTACCGCGGGGCACGAGCTTGTTTCCGGTCACCCTGTTGGTCAAGTAATTTTTGGGAGTTCACCAGACAGGACGATTAGCAACAAACCGAAATACAGGCCACGACTTTCGTCGTTCATCAACAGTTTCGTTTCTTCCATTATTTGCTTGATGAGTGACAAAACAATAGGACCAGCACGGTACCCTAGGCAAACTACGTTCCAAATAGACCACTACCCTTTCTGTGTTCCCTTAAACCAAAAGGAGAAAAATACGCGGCAACGATTCGCTTCGTCAGATCAACTGGGAACCTCTTGTGACCAGGACGGGTAATGGAAGTGTCACAAAGGTTCTTTGTAGGATCGACTCCAAGAGGGTGTTCTCAGGACTGACGCACTTGTGTCCATGGGAAAAATGTCCCAAGCCAGAAGAAAAATGTGCACCTCAGGAGATTCGAACTAGTATCCTGCTGACGCCATGCGCGAAGGTGTACGATTCGTCAATCAACGGATGCCCTGCTAATCGGGTCCTCCTTAACACGGACGAGACGTCGCAACTCACAGGTTGTAGTTGCTTCCGTCGGGGCCGTTCGTCACCCTGTCGCCCGTGCCATCTTCCCATTGGTTGCTGGAAGTTCCGATGTAGATGGCCTCGCCGATCTTTCCGTCGAACTGAAAGCGGAAGTCGTAGATGCCGCAGTTCTCGATGTCGTTGTTCTGGATCACCGCGTTGGTCACGAAGTTCCTCATGCGGATGCACTCCATCCTTCGAAAAGTGAAAAATAAGAACGAAAGGACAATAAATACAGCAGTACTGTAGTACTTGTACGCCAATAAATAACTGGCATCTTATGCCGCCCCTGCTCGTCCTCCTTTTCTCCCGGAGACTTTTTGATTCAGTCCCGCTTCGCAAACGTCATGTATTGTGCAGCAGCAGTACTTCAATATTTATTACACTGAGGCTGCATCAGTAGGACTTCAGCTCTTATCTTGAGTACCACGTACAGGGAGCAACAAGACACACGAGCCAACACCCTTAGCATTGTTGTTAACGGATGTAGTTCGGGCACACATATTTGAGCTGCTTACCCGCAGTTCTGGATCTTGAGGCCATCGATGACAGTCCCGATGAGGGCCGACTCGACCTCCTGCCCCTGGTGGGTCAACATGGTGGGCGCTGCCTGGCCCTCGACGAAGATGCACTTGTCGACGTAGCTCTCCTCCACGTCCTCGTCATCCAACTGGCCGTCGATGGTGAAGCCCTGTACAATTTTGTGATCGGCAGACAGCGCGTGGTCCCAAGAAGAGAGAGTCAGACGTGCGGGCGGGCGGAGGAACAAATCCAACGGCCGCACCAAAACACCAACGGCAGAAGGGGGCTCGTGTCTGAATCTGAACACCCCCTTCCTATTGTGGAGCCCCGACTTCCCTGAGACCCCCGAGAGTTTCAAAGCGTTGTCTCCGCGGAGAATTGTTGGACATTTTCCCTCGAGAGTTNTGAAGCCCTGTACAATTTTGTGATCGGCAGACAGCGCGTGGTCCCAAGAACAGAGAGTCAGACGTGCGGGCGGGCGGGGGAACAAATCCAACGGCCGCACCAAAACACCAACGGCCGAAGGGGGCTCGTGTCTGAATCTGAACACCCCCTTCCTATTGTGGAGTGGAGCCCCGACTTCCCTGAGACCCCCGAGAGGTTCAAAGCGTTGTCTCCGCGGGGAATTGTTGGACATTTTCCCTCGAGGGCGTCTACGGCTGTTTGTAGTCTTATCCATCGTATACACACTGCTGTAACATGATCAATATATGCAGCGCGGGTTTGTCTACACATCTTGATCACACAGGTGCTGCTGCAGATCCATCTACTTGGCAAAGCCAAGGTATTAGAACGCAGCAGTCTACAACGTAGTAGAAATGCGAACAGGTGCCACGCCACGAAACGATCACCATGCCGGTAGCTAAAAATCTGCCACTAAAAGAAACGTTCGCGACCGGGGAAGCCCCTGCGCAGCCCAGGAACAGCAGCAAGCAGTTGAGATGAAGGCACACCAGATCGGACACGGAACGGACCACAACGCAAGTTGATGTTATTGGGAGAGTATCTTCGTGCGGGGCGACGGTATTCGTTTGCAGCTACCGGAGGAGAGGCGGACGGCGGTATCTTGTTCATTTTTTTTGCCACTGCCCTCGCCAAACAGGCGTCTGGGTCGCCGCCCACTTCACCGCAACACTACCGCACTGCAGCTGCTGTTGCTCTGCAGTCTGTGCTGCTGCTGCATCCGGCAACAGCACACGCCAGGGCTGCTCAGGCCGTTTGTTTTGGAGGCAATCCATTTCGCTACAGCAGGAGTAGTGCTTGTGTGTCACGCGCCCTCGTCACACAAGGGATGAAGAGAAGTCGAAGTTTCGAAAAAGTGTGGTGCGCACCCGCACTTTGTATGGTCTGTACACAGAAAGCAGCGGATAGCGGTTAAGCGGTTAATCGGAAGGGAAAGGGAAAGACAACACCGACCAAACCCACCGACTACAGCATATATACTGCTGCCCACACGCACCCAACTTGTATCCTACAGTCTCACCTCCAAAGTGACGTACGAGTGGCGGATATCGACGACCTTCTGAGACCACATCAGAGACCTGTCGCCGCTGAAGTAGTTGATGATGGCGCCTCTGCCGCCCGTGATCACGAGAGGATTGCCCTCCACGCCGGCGTTCATCGTCACGATCGGCTCGCGGTAGGTCCCGTCTGCCAAAGATACGATGTCGCCGGCGCCGGCCACCTCTAGGGCTGCCGTGAGCGTCATGGGATTNTGCTCTGCAGTCTGTGCTGCTGCTGCATCCGGCAACAGCACACGCCAGGGCTGCTCAGGCCGTTTGTTTTGGAGGCAATCCATTTCGCTACAGCAGGAGTAGTGCTTGTGTGTCACGCGCCCTCGTCACACAAGGGATGAAGAGAAGTCGAAGTTTCGAAAAAGTGTGGTGCGCACCCGCACTTTGTATGGTCTGTACACAGAAAGCAGCGGATAGCGGTTAATCGGAAGGGAAAGGGAAAGACGACACCGACCAAACCCACCGACTACAGGATATATACTGCTGCCCACACGCACCCAACTTGTATCCTACAGTCTCACCTCCAAAGTGACGTACGAGTGGCGGATATCGACGACCTTCTGAGACCACATCAGAGACCTGTCGCCGCTGAAGTAGTTGATGATGGCGCCTCTGCCGCCCGTGATCACGAGAGGATTGCCCTCCACGCCGGCGTTCATCGTCACGATCGGCTCGCGGTAGGTCCCGTCTGCCAAAGATACGATGTCGCCGGCGCCGGCCACCTCTAGGGCTGCCGTGAGCGTCATGGGATTGCCGTCGGGGGACACCTCATACATGGCGGCGTTGGTGCCGGTGGCGAGGGCGGCGAGCGCTGCTGTGGCGAGACGCAGGGCAGCGACGCCTGCCGTCTTGTTGGTGCAAGAAGAGGAAGTCATGGTACCGCTGTAGTGTTGCTGTAGCGCGGCGAGCTTCTTCTTCTACGAGAGAGAGAGTACAGCAGTAGAGGTGAGTCTCGAAGAGGTGGAGGATGGCAGGGGGGGAACGGGAGTGGGCAAGATGAGGGGGAGAGTGGGAGAATGAGAGGGTGTGTGAGAGGGATGGCACAGCCAGAAGTTGTGGATGCAACGGTTAATAGTCAACGCACCCAACTTCTACTGTTTTGTTTGCGGACCTCGTGCCAGAATTTGGCCGTTCGCGGCGGACTGGCACCACGTATTCTGAAATAACGAAATAACCCTTCATTCCTTCATCCCTATCGATAATATTTTTTTCTTTTTCCNTGCGGACCTCGTGCCAGAATTTGGCCGTTCGCGGCGGACTGGCACCACGTGTATTCTGAAATAACGAAATAACTCTTCCTTCATTCCTTCATCCCTATCGATAATATTTTTTTCTTTTTCCTCTTCTTGTTCTTCGCTGTGACATCGTGTTACGCGCGGCAGTCAGTGCGGTTGACTTTTGTTTGTTTTTGTGGCCGTCGACTGCTGAGAGGACCGTTGTGCGGACCGGTGGACAGCTCGAGGGTTGGTTCCGAAAACCCCAGCCAGTAGACTGCAGAACGGTCGGGAAGCAAACGGGGTTTCGTACAAGCGCAAATATATGTAAGGTTGGGGGGAGGAGGACGAACATCTTTTGCGTGGCGGGCAAGAGGAACGAAGGTGGTCAAAGCGTCGGAAGTTTTTGCAAGCATGGTGTGTGATGTGGTTCTTCTTGTTCCGACGTACCCATCCATGCTGTGTACTACTGGTACCTTTTTTACCGGCTGGATTTCGGAACCCTTCACACCCATGTCCAGACATCCACACAACCACACAACGCCCGGAGTCAACGGCTTGTTGGTTGTGGTACAGAAAAGGGGTACATTCAGGAGAGAGTACACCACAGCCGAAGCAAAGGTATTTTCCGTGCGCAAGTTGCTTTGAGGAGGCCCCTCCCTGATCGGATCCATGAATCAGCCCGGGTCTGTGAGGTCCAATTCTGAGTGCAGGCTACGCGTAGTCTAGAATACTGGTATTTGAAAGGGATGGCCGCAATAGACTAGTCTAAGCCGGATCTCATCAAGATCCAATACGCACCTGTCATGAGAACCGTGTGTCGGACACCTGTTGTCTGTCTGTTCTTCTTGGTGAAGTTCTTAGATTTTGGATATATTTGGTGAGGTTCCTGCCAAGTTCCTCATCATCCGTGAGTCGTGGCGGGTTCTGTATGACGTATCTTACAGACATACCGGCTGGCTGCTTCTGTCGTGATGTTGTTGTTGTGGTGTCAGTTGCTAATTCCAAAATCAAGCAAAGAAAGACTCGGTCCGTGGTCACAAAAATGCTAGCGGCATCAAAAGATCTGAAGAACACACACACACACACTACTAGCAAGGAAAGGGTACGCAAGCCCGAGGAGGTACACCTGCAATCCCTGCAGCACGTTTGCGTGCTCACAACTGAACTAAACGCCCACACGCTACAAATCGACTACAGCAGCAGCATCACCCCCCTTGTCCCGCATTTAACCAAAATGAATGTCGACTACAGCGTACTGCTGTCTGAAGTGCTGTCTGTACAATAATAACACCATATGGTGCACGGTACACAAGCTCGGGGCATGGAGCTGCTGTCTGAAGTGCTGTCGGAATGAGCCCGTGGACATACAATGAAGAAGAACACCCAACCAAAGCCATCATTGCAATTGACAATCACCCGAATCTATCCAGATCATCTGTGTTGAGTGTTAGGCACAGCAGTGTAAACATCGACACTGACTAGGAATCGTTCCACATTGAAGGGGTCTTCCACGATGCAGGTACACAATTAAGGCACCCGGGTTATCCGCGCCATCTCTGCCGCGTCTCTCTACAAAACCAGTGACGTCTTCACACACACACAACACCTGAGTGGGGTATTCAGGAAAAAAACGGAAAAATAATTGACAATACAAGAAGAGATGTTTGTCCGTGCGCCACGGTTTGATGCCGTCCGCCTGCTCCGCGGTTCCGCTGCTCCGGTGCCGCTGTGGCCAGTCCTAGCACGACCAAACTCGACCCGCTCCGCTTCGTACACGCTCTCGTTGCTGTCCTTCCC